TGAGAGCTTATTTATCGAATAATTCTCTTTCGAAATTTATTCACACCCCCAACTTGATAATACGATTCATCGGTATGATTGCTAAAAAATCGTATCGTCTGTTGGCATGACCTCCCAGGTATGACGATGTCTTTTGGTGAATGTGTCTTCTTCTGGGGATGTAAAACCTTGTTGGCATTCTCAGGACAATTTATTACTGTCTTTGAGCGATCCAAGGTTATGTCGGGAGTCACACGTTTAGAACCACTCCCTTGCGGGTATGGAGTCTTAACGGGCTCTGAATGCTGATTTTGCATAACTCCAGACTTTGGAATCCAAACTTTGTAGAATTTTGGTGGTTCTTTGACCACCGTTTTCTTGTTCCTTTCTCGTCTTTGTTGTAAGAGAGCACGAGCATAAGCAGCGTTTGCACGACGCTTTTGTATACGTTCTTCGAGGGTCGAGCGAGCCCTTTTGACGAGAGTCCATTCATCTGTCGTTAATTTAGCAGAGATATGAGTGATTGGTTGTTTAGACAACTGAACTACTCGATGTCTCCTCGACTCTAGGTCTGTGTGATAACGAACCCCGTCGGTTTGTTCTAAGGCCTTAGCTATTTGGTGAGCGTGGCGCTGACATTGTCTCTGACGAGCCCTCTTCGTCAGTGCCGGTGGTCTTTGATTCGATGACTCTTTAACTAGATAAGAGTCATTATGAGCAGAGAGGTTGCGAGTAGAATCCTCAGCAACAATCAAGCGAGAGTCTTCATCTGTAGTGTTCGGCGTAGTCGAAAACTTGAAAACCTTCTTAGAAGATGGAATCTTCCTGCATTTGTGAGGCGAGGAAGACTTTGAGGATGAGGATGACAGATATTCCTCAAACTTTGCTTGGTCGAATTCATATTCAACCATGGACTCAACCAGCATCTTGATCGGCTGCGACACGACGGTCTCAGCAGCGAGACCATTGGCTCCCACTGTGGTCGCCAGCTTGTTTGCGTCAAAAGTTGATCTCGTTATGGAATTCATTATATCTTCGATCAATTACAATAAATTCAAAAGAGATAGCCTTTTTATAAGACTTCTTTTACACAACAAAAGAAAAATTATAACTTTTTAGAAACAAACGCATGATCGTTGTTTGGATCGCTGCCTGCGTGGGATCTTTGCCTGTGCCGGGGGTGCGTTAGCCCGTGGACCACCAAATCACAGATTCTGATTGAATCGTGAGGGGTTTAATGATTCTTCCTTTGTTTATCGAAGTAGGAATTTAAAGTGAAGATCTTATCAAAGTAAGACGACCACTCTTCTTAAGATCAAGTCAAAGCTCGAATCTCAAGGAATTGTCAGAAGCTCAAGTACTCTGCTATGTCTGCTCCAAAAATGCCCCGCGATCAGCCCCCTCAAAAATCGATCTCAGGGGGGTATTTATAGCCCCTGGACAAATAGTGCTTCCGAGACAGTGTTTACTGTTTGGCAGCCGAGACAGGTTGTGTCTCGCAGCAGACATAGTTTTGCTGTCTCGGCTGGCGAGACAGAGTTACTGTCTCGGGTTCGAGCAGTAAAACGGTCTCAGGGTAAAAAAACTGCACAGGTTGCCTAACTGCACTTCCACGTCTGTCAAACTCCTTATTTTACATTATCAACGTTTTGATCTCCTACGACCGTTCGAACGTCTTTGAAGGTTAATGGACAGTTGCCTGCATTATACGAAAAGTTAGAACCTTTAAAAAGTGCCTCGGGAGAGACAGTAACTTGTCCGCGTGCTGAGAAGTAAAAAACCTGTCTCGCATGCGAGACCAGAAAAACTGTCTCGCATGCGAGACAGTAAAGACCTGTCTCCGTGTGCGAGAGCAGTATACTTGTGTCCATTTTTTAATTTTTGGATGATCTCCTCTTGAGCTGCATTTGGATATCTTTCAGTATTTTTTGATGCCTACACACCTCCTTAGTGTTCGCCACGTTTTTCACGCACGAACTCTTAGGGTTTCAAACTTAAACTGCCGCCGCCATTACTCCGGCACCCAAGAGGTCGAAATCCTAGGGTTTCCTGACGCCGCCGCCGCCGAGGGCGAGGCCGCCAGCGAAACTTCACCGACGAGGAGCATGAGACCGAAAATTAAACCAAAAAAAATCCAAAGATTCATCGATTTTATTTTCAAATCTAGATCCAGAATCAGAAAAAATTTTGTGATCTAGACCAAGAAAAAATCGAAGAAAAAACCCAAAAAATTCCAAAAAGTTACTGTTTACCGGCGATTTTTTAGTTACTGTTCATCCGAAAAAGCGTTACCTGTCATCCGAAAGAAAATTTTCAACAGCCGTTACTGTTCATCCGAACGTTACTGTTCATCCGAGAACAGATCTTAATCCAAAAACCAGAGATTTAAGATCAAAAACCCAATTTTAAAACTTAAATCCCTAAGAATTAATCAAAGGTGGCTCTGATACCACTTGTTAGATCTAAATAAAAACATGAGATCTAAAACCATAAAGTCATTGAAGAAAACTTGAGATGGGTTTTGGATCTTCTAACCTTAGGGTTTTCTCTATAGCCGATTTTTCTCTCAAGATGAGGGTGAAGAGAATTAGAGAATGTAACCCTAGATTAGAGACCATAACCCCTTATTTATAGATGTTATACATTTGCAATTTGGCCCCTCAACAAATCACAATTACAACCTGATATCTGTACATATAACCCCATGATTTATTTAAATACCCATTAACCCAAATTAATTGATCACTTTAGTGGGTTATTCTGAAAGATAGCAATACATTAATTGATCACTTTAGTGGGTTATTCTGAAAGATAGCAATACACATTGATTAATCATATGTGCCCACAAATAGATTTATTAAAGATAGCAATACACATTGATTAATCATATGTGCCCACAAATAGATTTATTAGATTAAATCCAACAGGGCGTATGTATAGGTACTAAAATAATTTAGATGGTAAGAAGTGACAAATTTTAGTTTAGAGGGCAAATAGCGAACAGAGCTAAATAAACATTTGAATTCAAGAGAATGTTAGGCACATAAATGATAATATTTGATTCATTTTAATACATAAAATTTTCTAAACCTAACTTTTAAAATGAATTTAAGTTAAACTTAAATATTTTTTTATCTTAAGTGTAGAAGAAAGAAACATAAAAAAATTTTAAAATCATGTAAATGCAAATTAAAAAAAGTAATGATAATATATAAAATGTTCTAAATTAAATTAAATTTATAAATTAAATAATTTTTATCTTAAGTGTATAATTAAAACCATGTGAGATGCAAATTAAAAAATAGTAATGATAATATTTGATTCATTTACTGTTCTAAACTAAACTTTAATTAAGTTTAATTTAATAATTATTTATCTTTACGTGGAAAAGAAAGAAACTAGGAAAAACAATCTTTAAAGGATCATGCAAATGCAAATTAGAAAATGAATGAATTAAAAATAATTATATTAATCAAGTTTAATTGGTCCCGGCGGGGCTCGAACCCGCGACCTTCGGCTCATAAGACCAACGCTCTAACCAACTGAGCTACGGGACCTGACATTTGCCTCACGGTTTAAAATTTTCAGATTATTGATAATAACTTAATACTCAATCCAAGTATCCAAACAATTAATATTGGAATGGTAAGTAAAATTATATCATAATATGGGGGTTTTAAGATTCAGTATTTTAATATTAGTCCTCCAAATTGCTTTAATAGTTGATATTAGCCCTTCTGTTAGGTTTACTGCTTAAAACCTGCAACTCTGATTAAGTTTAGCCTAATCATGGGCGGTTATTTACCAAAATATTCACCCATTTGTATAAAAGCTATTGAAGGAACAAAACTGGAGGAAATTTTCAAAACAGCCCCCAAAAGTTTTTTATTTTTCAAAATCGACCCACTATTTTTTTATTTATCAAAATCGACCCATTTTTTGCCACGTGGGCTTAATGAAGTTCCTAAACAGTCGGGGTTGCCAACCCCGACTGTTTAGGACATGAAAATTTCGGGTTTAAGGGTTCTAATTGGGGTTTAACACCCTTCTAAATAGTCGGGGTTGCCAATCCCGACTGTTTAGGAACTTCATTATGCCCACATGGTGAAAAGTGAGTAGATTTTGATAAATAAAAAAAATAGGTCGATTTTGAAAAATAAAAATCTGTTTAGGGCTGTTTTGAAAATTTGTTCAACAAAACTGTTAAATGGACCATTGAAGAAGAAGAAGTTAAACCGATTCAAGTTTGGGGTATAACTGTCAATTACAGAAATAATTAAACATAACGGAACATTCTCTGACATTTATAATCCCACTAAGTAGAGGGACTAGTCATATTAATGCAATTTAGAAGACTAATATCAAAATACGAAGAATTGGGGGACGAGTATCAAAATACTGATGATTTAAGGAACTCGTATCTAAAAAAACCTACAGTATAATGGTGTAACGTTGAAGTCGTGGAATATGCTTCAGAAAAAAATTTCCTTCTTCTTTCTCCACTTTAGCAAAAGGGCCATCTATTTGAATATAGTAGCCAAAATCATCCATGCTGAATACGCTTCAGAAAGAGTAATATGTCTACAAAAGAACAAATTTTCAAAACAGCCTCAAATCAGTTTTTATTTTTCAAAACCGACCCATTTTTTTTTACCAAAATCGACCCACTTTTTGTCATGTCAGCTTAATACAATTCCTAAACAGTCGGAACCCCGACTGTTTAAGAGGTTGTTAAACCCCAATTAGAAGCATTAAACCTGATTTTTTATGCCCTAAATAATCGGGGTTGACAACTCCGACTAATTAGGAAATGAGATTAAGCTGACATGGCAAAAAGTGAGTCGATTTTGATAAAAAAAAAAGTGGGTCGGTTTTGAAAATTTAAAACTGGTTTGAAGCTGTTTTGAAAATTTGTTCGTCTACAAAAGTTCTGATAAAACAAAGAGTACTATCTTTGGTATTAGTTTGTCATCTCATAAAAAATTTCACCCAAACAATAGAAAAAGGTAGCAAGTGTCAAGTGTGAACCAATATCTCACTACTGAAGCATATAAGGACTTTTAACTTCTCTTGCGTTCTTGGAAAAAATCAGGTCCTTTCTACAACACAACAGAACATCAAAGCAACTATATACATGAGTTCATAACAAAACACGCATTACAAAGAATCAACAATCAAGCAATGCACAAGAAAACAGAGAGAGAGCCTCAGAAGCTCGAAACTCACTTCATGTTGAGCAGCACTGCTTCTTCGCAGGAGCCTCGGCATCTGAAACAGAAATCGTCTTCCCTTCCTTAATGCTACCAGCACTAGCTTCATCATTCGAAACAACACTCTTCTTACTAATAATCTTATAAATCTCCCCAAGAATTATCTGAAACGCTTTCTCAACATTAACCGCTTCAAGAGCAGAGGTCTCGATAAAACACAGTCCTTCCTTCTCAGCAAAACTCTGAGCATCCTCTGAAGCTACAGCACAAAGGTGCTTTAAGTCAGTTTTGTTGCCGATAAGCATGATGACAATGTTGGAGTCGGCGTGATCTCGAAGTTCTTTTAGCCAACGACTGATGTTTTCGAAGGTGGTGGGTTTGGTGATGTCGTAGACAAGAAGAGCGCCTAGGGCTCCACGATAGTATGCGCTGGTTATTGCTCGGTATCGCTCTTGGCCTGCTGTGTCCCATATTTGAGCTTTTATTGTCCTGCCTTCAACCTAAAAATATGATAATAAAACAAAAATAAAGAATAAATTTACTGCAGCATCCTGTGATGGGGGAATCATTTATTAAGAATAAAAACTAACTTAATATAGAATCTGAGACGTGCAAACCCAAGAAACCATGAGTACCATAAAGCAGAAGATATCTGGTGGATGCAACATTTTTACTCTCATAACCTAATCCCTTGCGTATTGAGATCTATAACATATTACTAACTCTTGGCAGGTCACTTGGAAAGAGAATAAAATTTCACTTATACAAAAATAAAATTCTTATACTTTCGTCTCTAAGCATATGTAGTTACTCTAGCATTGTTTGCACACACTAAGAGTGATCTTAAACCCAAGCTTTATATAATTTGCTAAACATAGGCAACCTTAATACTATTTTCCAAATACCAAGGTTTGTTAAGAAAATAATAAGCAGATTGTTGTTATTTTTTTAGATAAATAAATGTTTCTTTCAAGTTTTTACTTGAACCAAGGGCAGGATTAAATTAGCTGGGACTGTGTGTGTGTGTCTATATATATATATGTGTGTGTGTGCGCGCGCGCGCGCGTGCGTGTGTATATATATATATATATATATATATACATACATATATATATATATATATATGTATATATATATATATATAAATATATGGAAAGAGAACATAAATAAGAGGGTATCACACAGAACATTGGAAGATGGTGTGAGTGCCTAACAAGGTTCAAAAATAAAAATAGGATGCACATGCGATCAAAATAAGCAGTTACTTGCTATATGATAATATCAAAATGTAATTCTGGACTATATTATGACCTTATTTCCCCAATAAATAAATAAAAACACCAAACCCCCTTTTTTGCCCCCTTACAGCTTTAGTACACAGGACTTCTGGTAAACATCAGATATGAGATTATGTAGGTGGGATCGTTTACTTACAGAACTCTACATGTAAAGTAAATATCCATTGGAGTACTGATCAGGCACTACTGCATTTGTTGACTAGGTCACTCAGGTATGAAGCATGACAAAAAATTATCTTCAGAAAAAGGATGTGCTGTTCATATGATGTCATGTCAAAAGCAGAGAGTTGAATGAGTAAAACATGACACTACGAAAGAGTTCCTCTCTTCTTATTAAATCAAGAACCTAAGTGAAGAATATGCATAAAGTAGAAGATGGTTTAATAAACTACGTAAGCTGCAACTTCAGATAATAACTAAATGAACTATTGTTTATACTTCAGGCTGTTTAAAATACTTTTTGAAAAATACTTTCACTACAACAAGAGGATACAAACAAAAGGCTATGGCCAGGGAACTTCTGAGTTTTCACTGAATCATCCAGGTATGATATGGTTAAGAAAATGCAAATTTGCGAATACCTAATTACTTCGACCTTAAAATATTGAGATTAAAAATCAGCATTCTTTCAACCTAATGATCGCGTTCGCTAAATAATTCTAGTTGTTATAAAATCACTAGATGCTGGTCCACTCCAAAACAACCGTGAAGCCTAATGAATGAAACTGAGTTATCAACAATGTGCCAGAGAAGGTACGAAGATTAATGAATGGGCATGCTTGATATAACAATGTGATTAAGATGTCAAAAAAAGGTTATCAGAGGCATTGCTGATTAAAATATAGTTTGCATAAACGATTGCTATTCCTATAGAATAGGTGTGCAGATCAGGACGTCCCAAGCACGAGATGCGTGGTTAGGGGACTAAACAAGTCGTGGTTGCGAACCCCGACTAATTTTGTCGGGGTTCCCAACCCTGACCGTTTGGCAAAGCCCACTTAGGTGGGATTGCCCCCCTCACAAAATGGTCGGGTTTGGAAACCCCAACCATTTTGAATTGGGGTGCCCTACGGTTGAGGAGTCTCTGCTAAATAGTCAGGGTTGGCAACTCCGACTATTTTGATTTGGGGTGCCTTCCTCTGCTAAATGATTGTGGTTGAGAACCCCGACCATTTCGAATTGGGCTTCGAAATGGTCGGGGTTCCCAACCCTGACCATTTTATGCAGCAGTAAAATTAGTCGGGGTTCGCAACCCCGACTTGTTTAGTCCCCTAACCACGCATCTCGCGCTGGGAACGTCCTAATTAGTCGGGGTTAGGAAACCGATTTTTTTTAAATTAACCCAGTTTCTGGCCACGATGCTGACGTGGCCAAAAACTGGGTCGATTTTTGGAATTAAAATTGGAGTGGGTAATTTTTTTTAAAAAATTGTTATGGGGCTATTTTGAAAATTTCTTCTAATAGCATATAACAAAACACATAACATACAGCCTAACATCCTCATGACATAACAAAATATAATCCTTCAACTTTCTATACTGTGGCTCGAGTAACCTCATTTCTGCATTGAAACATATATAAACTCATTCTAATTTAAGACAAGTCAACATATACTTCGATACATTGATCAAAACAAAACAGTTAGATCAAAATAAAAAAAGTAATCTCCCAAACATGTTAAATGAACAAAGAAGTGTGAGAAACGTAGGATATGTATCCTACATTAAAGCATCTCACACTTTCTTATATCACATACTTTCGCCTTAATGACAACACCACAATAAATTGGTCAACACAACTTCTTATAGCAAGAAAAATATGGGCATTCAAATGATAATTCTTAAAAAAAAAATCCCTGCATAATTTTAACTTGTAAAAGACAGAAGTACTGAAATTGAATTAGATAATGGTCAAAATGAAATTTTCTTACGCTATATTAATGCCGATAATCATAAAGATTTCAAATCTAACTATATCACCATTGAGTCATCACATAATCAAAGATCCAACTTGAAGATAAATCAAGATCCAGATCTAATCCAAGATCCAAAGATCCCGCTCAAATTAAACAACTACCTAAATTCCCCCCAAAAATTTCAAAAAATTACGAAATCAAAACCTCGAGAGTGCGAGTGGCGAATTCAACTCCAATCGTAGACTTCGACTCAAGGCAAAACTCGTTGCGAGTGAATCGCGAGAGGATGTTGGATTTGCCAACGCCGGAGTCGCCGATGAGAACAACCTTGAACAAGTAATCGTACTCCTCGTCCGCTCTCATCGCCCCCATCCTCGCCGATTTTTCCGTGATTTTTCGAGATCGAGATCGAAATCGAAATCGAGATTTTTTTTTTCTTTTTTCTCGCTCACTGTTTTTGTTTGGAGTGTTGGAACTACGCCGTGTTCATATCTCTTTTGGACTCTTGTCTTTGACGCGTGTATATTTTTATTACAGAAAAGGAAATGGATTTTTACTTATAAAGTCCAAGTTGGAGAAATTTTTGAAAACAACCCTTTTTAGAATAATATTAGCAACAACGATCGTCTTTGAACAAAATGAGCAAAAAACGACCCTTTTTAGCCCACGTAAGATGAAAGCCGTCGATTTTGCAGCAGGAAGAGTTTTTAATTACACTAGTCCTGTGTAATTAGTGGTTGTTAATCAAAATTAAACCCTTATCCTACTCAATCCGTATCATTCATTAAAATTAACAACAAAATAGAGAAAAATTTAACCTTGATCGGAGCTTGGTGGATGTGGTCAGAGGCTGCTGTGGTCACGAGCTTGGTCGGAGGCGACGGCGGACGAGAGCTTCGTCACGAAGTCCGTGAGAGGTGGCGGGGGGTCGAGAGCTTCGTCGCGAAGTCTGTCGGCGG